AGAGAGAGAGAGAGAGAGAGAGAGAGAGAGAGAGAGAGAGAAATTATACTTTAAAATAAAATGTTAATTTGTGTTTCAAAAAATACATTGTTTCTTACAAAAAACATTAAACATGTCGAGCTATATTGAATGATTTTTTAATATATTTAACCATCTAAAGAAGAATTATAAGCATATCATTTTGCGATATTAATAGAATATAAATAATCTAAAAACATATTACTAAAAATTTGTTAAAAATTTTTATTTGCGAATAATATCACCGATTAGGTGCTATTAAAAATCTATATAAAAAATTATATATAAAACTAACAATATTATAGAAGTTTATATAATTGTTAAAATTGAAGTGATTAAATGATATAATATGTAACAACAATTTTATAATTTATTATTATTTTGTCGTTTCATAGACATGTATGTTGTACATATATTTAGAACACGATAATATTCTTTTTTTTGTTTAAAACTACAATTTGTTGCTTTCAGCAATGTAGATTTTTTGATAATTGTAAAGAAAAAAATGTACATAGTTTTTACATCGTAAATACGTGTATTCTTATTTATGAAATATCTGTATAAGAATAAATCGCGAATTTAATATACTGCATAGAGAGCTATAATTATATTCAGATATTTATGTAGCGATTGAAGAATATATAACAATAGTCGATAATGTCAATGCTCTTCAATTATCTCCAAGCCCCAAGGATAGTCCCCATTGATAGTCACAATAATTTGTTCAAGGTTGACGGTTATTTTTAATAATATCTTATTGGTTAACATCTTCTACCTGGAACATTAATTTAAAATAAACAAAGAAAAAAGATATAAATCATTGCAAAGAATGCAAAATTCTGATTAGTCCAATTAACATTAAGTAACATTTTTTTAAAGTGTTTTTGTCAAATTTTTTTTACCTTTATTATGTATCTTTTTTTTGAAATGTACTAAATTAATTTTTATATTTTTCTAAAATTTTTTTAAAAGTTTTTGTATATAATAAATTATAATTTAGTCATTTAATACTAAAAAAAATGTAATAAATGTATTAAAAGTTACGAACAATAAATGATGCAAAAATGTATACTGTTTTTACTTACTGTAATTAAAATTCAAAGAGAATTACTTGTAGAAAAAAAATATTGCTTAAAATGTACAAAAATTATTCAATTATATATAAAAATAAAATACAATTTAATTTTTCTACAAATTAACGGCAACATTATTTTAATTAATATTATAACTTCAACAATTTAAATGTAACAAAATATAATACATGTATACATAATAGTTACATTGTTGAATAAGAAATTATAATTGATGTAATGTCATTGTTAATTCGTGCTACTTTTCTAGTAATAAGAATAAGAATATAAAAACTATAATTTTGCTTTATTTTGCAATATCGCAACAGTATTCTTCTACTTAAAAGTTAATTATAAAGCAGGCATTAATTATCCTGTTATATTATATTATTATTGTATCCTGTTCAGTCGTGTTAAACAAGCAGATAATTAAACATGCATATTAAAAATTTGAATTATTAATACAAAATAAATATAATAACATATATTTTATAAAATTATGATTTCTAAGTATTCTCCGTAACTTTAGAAAATTGCTCAAATCTATAGAATAACTTTCTACAGATCGTTACACACACTGTGTACATATAAATTATCTAATTTTAACTACTGCTTATATTATTTATCGAATGTTAGATGCTCGATGAAAGCGTAAAGTTAAGTCAATTTTCACACAATATCAACTAATATTAATTACTAGTAATTACTAGTCTCATTGGATACCGCCGTCTAGGAGCATAATCTTTTGGCTCCTAATATTGATATTGCTTTGGAATGTGGAGCGTATATAAAGCCTCTCCTCGATCAAATCGAGAGGAACACTTTCAGCAAGATCTTCTACGAGAACGTATCGTTTTACCAGCAACAAAGAAAATCCATCGAGGTGCGTACATATCCTACTTTAATTAAGAGAGAGAGAGAGAGAGAGAGAGAGAGAGAGAGAGAGAGAAAGAGAGAGAGAGAGAGAGAGAGAGAGAGAGAGAGACAGAAATTATTAATTTAAAATTAAATTTTGAGATAAGGACTCTTTAAAATTTTACTTTAGTAAGTTTTTCCTTACAAAAAATTTTTGTATTTCCTGCAAATAGTGATTTAAATAAGAAAATTATCTGCTTTATTCGCAGTAGATATGTGTGTTCAAAATCTTCTCTTTTACCGACACTCAATATGATGACAACAATTGGTAAAAAATGAAAATATTGTTACGTTGATAGAAAAGTTGGTACATCTCAAAATTAATAACTTTTTATTACAGTATTTTTTAAATTCTGAGTTCGAATAACATTTTAATTAGGATAATAAATTACTTAATTTCTATTTTCTTTCCACGTTATAGTTTCAATTATATTTTTTTTAAATCTATGTCACGTATTTTCGAAAATTAAACATTGCAACCCTAATAACAATAAATTTCATCTCTTTATTAGAATTGTGTACTTTTCCACTTAAGCAAATGAGCTACAAATATCGCTTTTCCGAAAATATATTAGTCTTTAAGGCTGATTATTTATATCTAAAAAATGCTATTTATCTTGTGTTTACTTATCAACGCAGCGATATGTATAACATAAGATAAAACATAGTGACACCAAGAAATTTAAAGCTACTTTAGATGGCGCTCGATGTTTAAAATTTACAAACTTTTATTATAATACTATAATATAGACTACACAAATTGTTGTCATCTTTTAAATTAATTGTAAGGATGAGAATAACTATTGTTTGGATTGTATATTAACATAAACGTATTAAACTCATGCGATATATTGAAATCGTTATATTATGTACATACTGTCAATATCGGGTTAATTTGTCTCTTTTTTTATCATATGCAAAATCGAAGAACAGTCTAATTAATGTACAAAAGTTAGTGAATTTACATTGCAATTTCAAACTTTGATCAAACTTAGATAAACTTAACTGTAGTTATTAATTTATCAAGTTACAACAATTTAATAATTCCATGTTATCAATAATTAATAATTCCAGTTACTTTGTTAACATGGAATTATTAATTTGTTGTTATTTAACTTGATGAAAAAAATATTAGAACCAGAAATTAATAATTATATTGTTGGAAATTTTTTTGCTTTAATTTTAATAATTGAATTAATCGCTAATTAAATTATTTAACTAATCTTTTATTTATAATGAAAAGATATCTAATCTAATTGAATATCTAATCTTACAAGTCGATGTTCCATTAGAATAAAATTTTAATTTCATTAAAGAATAGCATCTCTCTCGTATAATTTTTAATATATTATACTGCATCAAAGAAGCTTTTTTGCAAAATAAATTTTCAGATTGATAAAATTTAGAGAGAGAGAAATTTAAAGAAAATGGTTATATTATTACTTATATTATATTGTTGCATGCTAAATAAAATCAGTTTTGTTTCGTAAACGTTTAACAAAAGAATTCGATCACCGCTAACGTAAATTACAATTTCGTATCGTGGGAAGATCGAGTAATACGAATAATATAGAAGTATCAATAGAGAAAATGATGGATAATGGACATATAGACTTATGGGAATGCGTAGAAACGGAACAATCCGGTTACCAAGCTAATGGATTACGAAACGTACGACAAATTGCCCGTCAGCGTGAAATGGAAAATCCACGATATATCGTACCTTCGACGCAACGTGCACGGCGAAATAAATTGCTTCTCTGACATTTTCTAATTTTGTTCCACGAAATAAGCGTGCTTTAATGTGTATTCGATAAAAATTCCAGACGTTAGAGGATAATTATTTCGTGATCGCATATAGTAATCCCCTGTAGATCTATTCTGTAACTTTTTAACGACAATTTTACTAATTAGGGATGTCGTTGCGCAGATACTTTACATAGTGAAAGAGCTGCGCAACGACAGTGTAACGATACCGAATTGAAAAAAAAAAAAAAAAGAAAGACAACTGAGTACTTTTCTTAGCAGTAGAACGATATTTTTTCTGTGTGGACAGATGTACGAAATGTTACTAGAAAAATAATTTGTCAAAGAGCAATTTTTTCAAATTGTTCATTTTCTTATTCCATTACAAATTAAGCATCGGTTAATATTACTAGCGGACGCGATGCACCGTTGTTCAGGTTTGTGCAGCGGTTCAAATGGCTGACATGCTTCATCCCTAACGGAGATGCTGGTCACGTCTCTTATCCGCTCGGACACTTAGTAGCACTTACGCTTATCTTAATGACCAGGGACGCCCGTAGCGTTAATGGTCCTCTTAAAATTAGCGTGCGGAACAAAAGTCGAGCGCGGGCTGAAAATTTTCAAGAAATGAGTTTGTCCGGTACTACACGAGTCGTTAATCCGCGCGTCATCCTTTTTTAATGAATATGAGAATTTAAAGAGACCGATGTAAAACATGCGATCTGCAAGAATCCTGCAATTATCGTAATCGCCCACTTCGGTATCTAAAGATTTGTGCTCCCGTTAATTATAAATGAAGGGCTATTTTTAAATATATATATATATATAGTTTGGATAATTTATTTTATTTACAATTATCATGTGGAAATACGAAGAAAAGGAAATAATTTTCCTTAAATACTTGATAAAATACTTGAAATGTCACTTCGCTGTATTGCGTTGTCCGTTTGCGTCATCATTATATTACCAACGATTGGCATTCGAGTGGTGTATCAAAAGTGATATCCCTACGAAAAAAAAACGCATAATGGTGGTAGTGTAAACTTGCGATCGTGCAATTTTAAATTGCACAGCTTCGTACGGATCGTTGCCTCGTCAAGTCTACCGTGACAGTTAGATAGTCTATTGTTTTTCCCTTCGCATTAAATCGTTACAAACGCAAGCGCAGACTTCCTCTTCCTATCTTAACAGCGAATCAAGCAATTTGATTACAATTACATGAGATTTCAGATTTGCGACACTTTAAAAAGATTTATTGTTAGCTACCGATATTGGAAAAACTTGTAATTGTCTCAGTGACAAGCTGCTTGTTTTTTTTTTCACGCTTGTCTTTGATTGTAACGGATAGTCTATATAAATATAATCTACTTGAGTTTCGAAGTAAATCCGCTTGATAAAAGTGAAGGACTGTTTTAATAATATCCGTCGAATTATTCAAACGTCGCTCATGGCTAGTTATCGACTATTGCTCTACGTTAATTAACGTTTGAAAATCATTAGTCGTTTTTGAAAGCTGCCAATAAGTGCCAAGTCGTTCGTCCTTGTGCAATTATTTAATAGACTCAATTCAACGAATGTTTGAAAGAAAAATTCGTTGCATCGATTGTTCTCCTTATACCTTTAATTTTTTTATTTCTATTATGTTCTCGCGAATGGAATATTTTCTTTACGCACCACGTATTTGCCTTTCGCAGATGGCCACGACGAAATGTGTATTCATCGTTTTCGTCCTGTCGTTGGTCATAAGCACCGTTCTTTGCCAGACCTTTCAATACAGTCGTGGATGGACCAACGGTAAGAGATCGGAGTTCTCAAACTCATTGGGTATCTCCAATCCAGGGGACGAACATTTCACCAACGGCGAATTCAAGAGACTGAAGATGCTGGTATACGGGAATGTCGATGAACAAGTAAGCTTTTAAACAGTATTGTTTAATTGTAAGATTTGTATTATAAATTACAAATTACGAAATCTTGCACAAATCTGGTTCAGAACAAAATTATAATAACATAATGGAGAAACAATGTACGTAGTATATATATATATATATATATATTTGTCAAAATAAAATTAATTTTTGATGCGAGTCGCAGATAAGGCAAAGAATTTTGTCATTTAAAAAATTAAACACTTCTGCAAATATTGTATAAATGTGTTGTTTTAATACTGAGATTTAGATTAATCCATTAATATCTTCTCCGTAGCCCCTGTTGATGTACTGCGATTTTGTGGACAATGGAAAATTGAGAAAACTCGGTCACGCGGATAATTATGCCTCTCAGCTGCGGGAAAAAGGACAGAATGATGGCAATTACTGAAGCGGACATTGAGAGTGATGGTCGTCACATAATAATTATAATTGCTTCAATGAAATACACCAGTATATAATTTTAGAGGCGCTTTTTTAGATTTAGTGAAATCGGAATAAATTATTCATGCATAAATCTAAATTCTAATGATAATTCACAACCAGAACCGTCATATCCCTATCAATGCAGGAACATAGTATCCACGCGGCGCTTACATCTTATTTAGAGGAAAAAAATATAGTCAATACAATCGTAGATATTGGAACTGTTAGAATTATATTTGTACGGTTATATCGCCACCGTTTCTTCGAGTTTGTCTTGACTCGTGACGGCTAATTAAGTTTTGCTCTCTTCATTGGACAGTCGGTCGATGGAATACATAGCGGACCGTCGTTGGTTAGTACCTCGACATGGGAGGGGGATTTTGTCTGTCAACGGAAGATGGAGTGAAACCATGCCGAATGGAGACACCCGCTGAGTCCGTGGATTATCCCTACGGACAACTTATCTTCCCACTGCAATACGGCACTCGGACTCCTGGCCCGAATATCAGACGCCGGGACGATAAGGATCGTTTGAACGAAATAACAGATTAATTTTTTATTGAATCTACGATTCGGTTAGAGCCGATTTCGAGAGTTTCATCGCGGATTTCGCGCGTTAACATCTCGCCGCCTCGGAATAATATGGAGCGTTCGTTCCGAAGGGTTGAAAGCGCAGCACTTTGAAAGCGCGCGGCGCTTTAAAGTCACGTACCGCCTCGCGATATAATCAGCACCGTTCAATTAAAGATCAAAGAGAGAGAAGATCGAGACGTCGATTTTCGGGAAGCTCGGCAACGCTGAGGATTATTGGTCGATGACGTGATCGGCGGGGCGTACGTAACTATCGCAGACGGCTAATGCGCTTGAAACTTAGCTGTTAATCAGAAACCAATTACTGGAGGCGGGACGAAATGAGTTTAATCGCATTAAATATTAAAACGTTCTGACGATATCGTCACGCGCGCGCGCGCACGCCTGTCTCGGTGTATACCCGGTGTCTCCGTCGTGTACGCACGAGTCAGTCATCACAGGGTGGCACACACCAGCACGTGCCACGGCCGGCTTCAGCCATTTTCGTGTCTTAATACCCACGGGAGTGGCCAGCCGGCAACCATCGTGCACCCTCCGCGAGTACTTTGCATTGAATCTTGAACCTGCGTAGCTGCAATGATCCAAGTGTCGGATATTTTCAGCAACGGATATTAGAGCCTCGGTAAAACGATGAATTTCAGCTGCGAAAAAATCGTGGCTATGAAATGAACAGCGCGAGTTTTTGAGAATACAAATTTCATCGATGATGAAATCGTAAAAAGTTTTTGACATAAAATATTCCCGAACAGTTCACTTTTATTTTAATAAAACGTCTCGCGAGATGATCACATCGCGATATAAATACGCGTGTCGCAAAATTATACACCCTTATACATCGCGACGATAAAGGCTTGATGGCCGGCAACTTCCTCTCAGTATCGTAAAATAAATAGTGACGATCGCGAAATACAACCTGTCGAGGAATAATGTAAGACTTGATGGAACCTCGTTGAATATATGAGCAGTAACATGAATGATGTACGATCCATCCCTGTGTCTCCTTCCAAGTTCCAACATAATTCCATATATAAGTAACAATATTTATTACATGGAATTAGAAATCGTGATTATCAAAAATTGAGACGGTAGATATTGCAATGCTAAAAGAGATCGCGGCGGTATTTTGGAACGTACGGTGATTTTTGAAATTATAAAACCACGTCGAAGACAATGGTTTAGGTATACAGCGTCTTTCGGAGATCTCGAGGATTATCTCAATTACGGAATTACGCTCGTCTGTGAAATTTCTGCGCCACTCTCTCTCGCACTCTCTCTCT